TTTAGAATCAGAAGTTTGTTGTCACAAACAAAAACAGATTTAAGGGATTTAAGATACAGATCTCCCAAATGTACTCTGCTTACACTATATAAAAAAAAATCTAACACAATGGGCATAGAAGCTGTAAATCACTAGTAAAACCTGAAGCTTACCCCATGCCCCAGTTTAAAACTGTAGCCACAATAATATACTTATCATTTTGGACAATAAGGTTTATGAATTACTCCCTATTCTACCCTCCATAAGGCCTTTTTGCGTTCCAGTTAGAGGTAAGCTTGGAGCAGTAACCAAGCATTCTCCGCAGAGAGCAGAAACAACAGTGAGAGCTGAGGAGAAGGGCACCTTCTTTTAATTAAGAAATTTATTTCTTGTTCATTTTACCTCCAGATTCAACAAAGTGACCTACAACTATTTGGAAGTACTATAATAAGCTTTGTTTCTGTGTTATGAAAATTAAAATAAAGATGTATGGAAAAGAACAGAACAGTTGGGTAACCTTATACAAGCTATTCTTTTAGGGTGATAAGACAATTCTTTAACAGAAACTGGGCATTCTATAGTTCTTGTTTATATCTTGTCTTACTAATTAAGAACATTCTAGCTGTCTTTTCTCTCAAGTGCTTTAAAACAAAGGGCACAGTCATAATTATCTTTAAAATTCACTTCTGTAAAGAAAATCTACTTAATGTATCTTAATTGCATTCATTTTAGCTTCAACAATGAAAGCACTCTTCAATTTCATTCTGTTCAGATATGAATCAAGCAGGAACACATTTTAGAACACGATGACACATTTTACGTACATTTGAGAGAAGACAGAGGAGAAGGAGGAAGTAAAAATGAATATATACAGTCACTTTAAGCAATAATAAAGAGAGACAGGCAGAAAATCAATAGAGTTTAAAGCTTGCCATGAAATCTAATCCCTAATAATTTGTGCTTGTTTCTGCTGATACTTGTAGCAGACATTGTTTCAACTGGAAATTCTTTCTCTGCAAAGAGAAAGTAAATTTCAGCTTACTTTTGGTCCTCTAATAGTAGTGTGGCATGAAATCTATCTGATATTTGGATTTTTCAATAATAAGCTCATTTACCTGGTAATAAGTTCCAGTAAAGACAACTGGACTTATTTCCAGTTAAAGAAGTGGGAAGAAACTCCTCCCTCCACATGCCAGGAAATGATAGATTTCATTAAATTGCCCAGGTGCCTTACAAAGTCACGCATATGCAAAAAATAGCATGCAAATTAGCGTAGCTGTGTAATAGAATTAGCTTAATGAAGTAAAACTTCAACTGTGAATACTCTAAACCATATTTCAATCAATGTTGCCTTTTCATAATTAAGCTGAAAAGTCACATTGACTAGTCAGAAGGAAATTTTTGAATTAAATTTTGAGAAATATACCAAGTGCAATAAATCCAGTATGATCAGAATCACAGGGCTGGTTTAAAAATGCATGTCCTGTATATTCAGCATTGGAAAGAAACATCTTTGTGTGAACAAACTATGTCTACCTATTTTGTACAGGTCAACAGAGATTTTAAAAAATCAGAAAAAAGCAGAGATAATTGTAAATATGCTTGCTGGTAGGGTTGTCCAGTCTACTCTTTCTGTTTTTCATCCATGTGAAGGAAATGTGAATTATCACATACTTATTATCTACATTTATTATGCGAATCCCTATATTCTACTCCACTGAGGCTTCTAAAGCTTTCTCTGGGTATGTCACATATATTACTATTCTTTTGCTTTCATTTTTAAGATAGAAATGTTATTTTTGTGAGCAGGTTTAGAAGGTATCATGAATGATACCTATTCTCAGGATTATAACTTTTCTGTGCCTTTTCACAAAAGAAAACAGCAGTATATCACAAGTCTAACCATGTACATTTATGCATACTGTACAACTAAGGAATACTTCAAATACCAAGTATCAATTTTGTTGCATCAGTATTTGTCTGAGATAGAGTTGTTCTGTTGTGAAATATAAAATGCTGTCCTTGTCTTCTTCATAGCAATAAGAGTGATAATAATAAATTTCAATATATTTTTCAGTAATATTTTTATGAAATTCAAGTTTTTACTTTGATGAAGAGATTGAAAGGCTTATGGACTGAATTAAATACTTCTGAGCAAACTCAACAGCAAATGCAGCATTTATGGCCAGCATCTGTGTCTTTCAAAATCCCTTTGCTCAGAAAAGCAGGTAAAGACAATTTCAGCCAACTGATATTTTCTTCCTCACGCACCTGCACCATCACATGGTGGATTTATACAATCACATTTCTTACTGGCAGCTATTACAGGGATAGTGGATGGAACTGAATGAAAATAATAATGGTAATAATAAAATCATCATCATCTTTTAGACTAGAAACAAGTATCTAATTCTCTGAAACTGTGGATACTGTGAAACCCAAGCTAGATGTTTTGGGGTACACAATTTTGACAAAATCCACTTAGGTTTCACAAGGAATCATTGCAATTTGTCATCTCTTATATTTATGTATGAATATATTTTCTCTTTATATCTCTATCTTTTCAAACATTTGGAATGTTTCCTGGATTTCTCTTACTGTGTAGTACCCTAACATAAAATTTAAAACAACTGTGATCTAAATTATGAAAAACATTCTATTTTGAACATAAGCTCCTATCTATATCTTCTAAAATAACTTACATTTTATGCGCTATGCTGCAGAAATATATTATAGAAACAATCAGAATGGTACCTACTGTCTCAAGCTCTCAGAGCAGAGAGATATAAATGATGAATGGTCACATGGTGCCTCCTGGTGGTCAAGGTAACTGAGAACACCACATAGGATACGCACTGCATAAAAATAGAGAAATTTCCCCACTCTCCAAGAGGGGGTATGGCATGTAAAGCCCTATTCCTAGGGTCATGATAGAATGAAACATCTATATCGCTCTGCTCTGAGATATATATATCTCAGATATATATAGCCTATATATACCATTCTGATTCTTTTGGATATTCCTTCCTGTAACCACTGAGTGACAGGACTTGGATAGCTCCTAAAACTAATGCCTGTATATGGTCATCCAAAGTGCAAAGATCCATGAGTTCAATTCCCAGCAGAGGATCTGAACCCCAGAGAATAACATCTGGCTACCCACATCTGAGGAGTCCCAATAAGGATGAAAATGGTCATGTGGTGTTTCTTGGTGGTCAATGGAACTCATTATAAAACGTTTTCAGGTGTACAAAACATACATATGTGGGGTTTTTTTTAGTAGCAACTGGAATGAACTTATTTTAAAATAAAATCCTGAGATTAGTTTAGTTTCAAATTTGTATAATATATTATTTCACCAGGAAAATATTTTCAAGAATTCTTTTTAAAGCAAAGAAACATGGTGTATGCCAAATATTCACAACAAAAAGATCTCATATTGACTAATAAAATAAATACAATAAATAAATACCATAGTTCTGTATATTTTCAGTGCTTCCACACTAAATTCAAAAGCTGATGCAAGAGATAAATCCTACAAGTTCAAGTAGGTGGACAAAAGCAGGCTGAAGTTGAAATGCTACAATTTCTTACCTGTTGCAACACAGGCTTTTCTATATCCTATGCAGAGGAGATAGCAGCCCCTGCACAAGTGGGTTAAACTGTATCCTAGGACACCAGTTTTTTGGTACTTCTTTTTCAAAAGTTACATAAAATGATGGTGGTAATCAGATGTACTTAATTTGTTATTTATCCATTTCATTCACACAGAGGAAAATATATTCTAAACAGGAACATGAGACTAGGTTTAGAGTAGACTGAGAACCAATATTAATTTATTTCCATTTTTGGTCAATTATTTTACAGGTAGTCCTTGCTTAACAACAACAATTGGGACCAGAATTTCCATCGCTAAACGATGCAGCATAAAGCACAACGACATATGACCACATTGCTTAGTGATGGCAATCCTGGCAGTCTCCAGGAAGTGGAGAAAGTTAAGTGAAAATCACAGGTCGTTAAGCAAGGATCTCATGTGACTGTGACTTGTGACTTCCTACTGGCTTCCCACAAGCAAAGTCAATGAGGAAGCCAGCTGGAAGTTGCAAGTCCCAGGCAACTTGCAAGCAGGCTGGAGGGTGGGTGAATACTATGGAGTGAGGTGGGGGATTGCTGCAGCGAGTGCATGCAGGCTGGGGAGGGGCTGCTGCAGTGCCACATGAGTGTGTGTAGGCTGGGGAGGGGGAGTTGCAGTGCAAGTGCGCTATGGAGTAGGAGATCCCTGGGATCTCGTACTCTGTAGGGGTGTCCTCGGGAGAAAAAGCGGTGGAAGCGACTTGCAGCCTTCCCTGATAGCTGCCCCACTGACTTTGCTTGTGGGAAGCTGGCAGGGAAGGTTGCAAATAACAATCATGTGACTGTGGGACACTGCAACCATCATGTGAGCTGGTTGCCAAGTGCCTGGATTGTAATCACGTGACTGCAGGGGTGCTGCGATGGCTGGAATTTCGAGGACTGGTTGTAAGTACCACTTGTTCAGCACCGTCGCAACTATGAATGATCGCTGAATGAGTGGTCATTAACTGAGGAGTATCTGTATAAGTGTAATTAATTAACACTTCTAACTTGGACAATTCAAAATCTTATTGAATCTCTCTATGCTCTTTGTATGTATCTAATAAATTGTAAAGAACTTGCACTAACATGAACATTTGACACTTTCAGCATTTTATTATAATGAATTACTGTAATTGAAATGGAGATAAAAAGAAAGGTGCACTCATGGAAGACATTATGAAAATTAGAAAATGAAACAATTATCTTTTTCTGAAGTGGTTTCAAAGAAACCACAACAAAAAGTAGTTTTTTTGTTGAGATAATAAGATACTAGTTGCATAAGAGGAAGAGATGAGAAAAAGGCCAGAAAAGAAGCTCTAGAATTGTTAGAAACTTTTGAGAAAGCTTTGCTTGAAGGGAAGTTCTACAAGGTCTCTGAAAGGGCTGCTGAACTGTGAACTTACAGGAATTGATCGACTCAGGTATCTTGCTGAAGAAGCAGCGAGCCCCGTAAGAGATCTGAAGGTGTTGTACTCCTCTGCCAGGACGTTGGGAGAATTGACATAGTTGTTGAGGTTGGTAGTGCTATTGCCTCTCCTGTTGTACAGGTTGTTGTTCAGCTCATGATAATTTCCAGCAGGCAACTGTGCACTGCCATTCAAATGACTGGAGAGTTGGCTTATAGAATAACCTGTCCTAGAGGATGATAATGTCAGTTTGCTCTCAGCATCATCTGAAGCATCATGCAGGTTCCCTAGAGAACTGGCTAACCTGGAGTTTATGGAAAAGCTGTATGGAAAACACATGTGGGGTAAAAACACACACAAAATGTACGCGCATGTGATGATTAATGCAAGACACACTTTAAAAGGCACTTGGATAAGAGAAAAATCACTTTCTCAATATAAAATGATGGCAATACACAGCTTAATTCTTCCTGTAAATTATGGAGAAACCACTGGGGACATTTTAAGATAAAGAATGATACAAAATAGTTGCAATGCTCTGAGGAAATACATAGATGTAATCTCCAATGATGTTGGAACTTTATGCAACATTTTTCTTGTTGGTGACTTCTAACAGACTCATTTGCTATTTAAAAAGGATTTCTTTTTGGTTTGTATAAGCTGGAATAGGCCAGTATGGGAAAAAATTATTTTGAAAGACATGCATGTGGCTCTTTTAATATGAGATCAATGGAATGACATGAATGTAATTTCATTAGTACTCACAGCCACTTATTCCCATAATCAAATTAAGGTATCAGAAGCAGATATTTAAAGTCACATCAAACACAGAACAAGTTCAGAATACCTTAGATCTCTTAAGCAAGAAATCCCAGTTACAAATGGAAAATACAGTATTTGTTCCTATATCCCCTCTTCCCAAAAGATAAGGACACAGCAGAGTAAAAAGTACCTTTTTAAATTTGGAACTGAGGATGGAGAATGTCTATTTATTCTCTTTGCTGCAGGTGACACAGAAACTGTAACTTTGGAGGACTTCAAAGGAGATACAGACCCTTGAGAGAAAGCTGCTGTATTCAGTCTAAAAGTACATCAATATGAATTAAAAGCATGTTTACATGGCTGGTACAATATTTATTTTTCTATCCTTCATTTCAATTCATTATTGTTTTTTCTATACAAGTATCACTGAATATAAATCTTTACATGATTAAATAATATTAAAACTTCCTCAGGGTTTGCATGTGATGAATTGTGTCTTCTACAGCTGGGATCCAAAGATGTCTGGACACAATAAAACCTTATGGAGGAACAAGAGAACATTTTATTCTATGAAAACCGTCCTTTGTGTGATACAGAACGCTGCTCCAAAGGATCCTCCATCCTTTGGGTACTTTTCAGGGGTCATGTTTGGTTTTGGACTGTAAATAAAAGTTTGATTTGATTCAGGGGTCTCTAAGGAAGAATATGACTGAAAAACTCTTTCATATCTGAGGAAAGCTACATATGAACCTTTGGGTGGAGATTTCAAGCACTGAACAAACATGGAAGTTTGTTGCACAAGTATACTCTCCCCCCATTTTCTGCTTGTAACATTATCTATTCATTTAAAATTGTGGACATCCATGTAGTTAAAACAAATGTTAATTCCAATGTTTTGATTTTTCCTAATTATTTTTTAAATTTTCCTTTAATTTTACATATCAAAAAAACAAAAACAACCAACCCCCCAAACCAGAATGTTGTTAACAGATACATTATTGAATATCCCTTTCAAAAGTGACAACTACCTTGATTATAATCATGTTTGAAATTTAATGCCAAATAACCCATCTCTGAATTTCTGGATTAACTTGTTTGCTGACCTTACCTACTGCTACCCTATATTTTTGCCTCTGGCATGTAAAATCACTCAGGGCTCCTGATAATCACCTCTACTATTCAGGTTTTACATGAAATCACAGAGGTGGGATAAAGTACCTTTAGTATGTTGGTGATAAACATCTCTCTCTCTTCCCTATCTTGTAGTGAAATCTTTGAAAAGTAGTGGAAACCTTAACATAGTGTAAATGCCAGTGGAATTAGGATGAACAAACTGAAACATATGATTTTCAAAACGGAAGAGTAGTGGACTGAGGTCTTGACTATGTGTAGAACTTGGGGTACTTTTAAGACTTAGATCCATAGTTTGGATATGCTTTTTAAATTCTGTAGTAACAGAATTTAATAACACAGGGAGAGACAGTAGCTAGAAATACATTTTATATTTCTAGTTAGCCAACTGCATCTCTTCTTAAAAAGGATGGCCTGAATAATGATTCAGAAGTTTGTAGCATCCAGCTTAGACTACCATAATGCAGTTTGCATGAAACTACCTTTAACTTGAAATTGCAGAAGCAAAGAATGAACCTGCTGTTGGATTAACTGGGATTGTTCTGAACAGGTAACACCAATTTCATAATTTCACTGGCTTCTGGACACAATTCAGAAAGCTGATTGCATCCCATCATTACGGTTGACCTTCTTGCTGGTATTTCTGTGTCAGGTAAAAGCCATCCTTCCCTGGCAAGGCATTTGGGGCTGCCTCCCTCTCAATTTTTCGTTTTTAAATTGCTGCCAGTAGTTCAAAGATTCTGCCAAATGTCCATTTTTGTAACATTGCATTTATTGTTTCAGTGTGTGCTACTCTTAGTAATTCACTGAAAGATGGGATTTATATATATTTTAATAGCTAACAGGACACAAAAGGCAAGCAGCAGGGAAATTCAGCACCATATTTTCCGGCCCTCTGTAAAGTAACCATATGGCAAACAGATCACTAGGTAGTCTTATGCAGGGCTCTGGATTTGATTCCAAAAAGCTGCTACAAACCACATAGGGACATAAATGTATAATCAGTCTGCAACTCCTTAAAGCAGCTGTGTTTTTTTCCTGGGACTGTGTAGGTGCCCTCCATAGCTGCTGCACAATCTCAGGAAAAGAGAGCTGCTCTCAGGGGCTACTGGCAGATGACAACACATGTCTGCTTCCTCTGAAGCACTTTTTTGGAACCAAATCCAAAGTCCCATACAACTTCAAAAGGTAGCTTGCCCCATGGAAATCTATCAGTGCTACTATACTATAATATATGAATCAGGCTTCAATGGATATGTCTATTCTTTAAAATATTAGTATAGTTATATGTATGAAGAATTACATATCAAGCCATGAACCTGACTGTAAGGCAGCTTTCCAAAATATAATTTTTGCTCACCGAATTACAGAGAATATGGGTGAAGTTAAGAGTAATAGATAATAGACATGTGCCCTTGTATGTTAATACATATGGACCCAGTTTATCCACAAGGAATGTTGCATGTGATCATAGATATAAATATTTTTCATTTTACAACCTTATTAATGAGATTGAATTCCAAAACCATTCTTTGTTCTACAAATTTAACACTGGGAATAGCTTTTATATTCAATCATAGCAAAAATTACTATTGCGAGAGCAAAAAATTCAGAAGGCTCCCATAAATGAAATTGCTTCTTTCTAAACAATCAAAACAAATACCTGAAAGGCTGGGATATGGATCTGACGTGCATTTTCATATCTTCTAACCTAAAAAGTCAATAAAATTTTACATAAAAAGTATACTAAAAAGGATATGTTATATATTTATTATTGAATTCATACAGCTAACATTTACTCTCCCAACAAACTAATATACTAAATTAAACACACACCCTATAAATTCAGAAGAGCAAGCAAACAAACAAAATAAATACTGGGTTGTCACCCAGATCCTAGCAGATGCCTTCCTGAAAAGGACATTATTTCTACCATTGCTCATGAAGACTAGAAATTGGCTGAATCTATCTCCCTGTGGAAAGAATTGGTAGGACATGTGTCACCAACAAAGAATCCTCAGTCTTGTGCTAGCACACTGTCCTTTATATAGCATGGTACTCAAAATAGGATTTTCTTCAATGATCTTAAAATGAGAAAGGTCATACATGCAATTCTTCAAATATTATTGAGTTACATCCCACACTCTCATTTTGCTGGCTAGGACAGTAGACAGGAGTTCAACACACTACCCACTTCCAGGACATGTGGTAGGAGTCAGAGGTCAACGGTACAGGATGCATGCAGAGTGTGGCGGCTGGAATTCTCTCCAGCCCCTCAGCATCAGTAGTTATAGGAGGTTCTGTATTTTCTTCTGTGTATCAAAGTACTGTGTTGCATCTGCAAGCCACTGCCCAACTGCCTTCCTCTTAGATCTGGCCCATTTTGGAACTTGATTTTTCTTTAGTCAACTTTTTCCCTTCCCCCATAATAAATCTGGTCTTACTTCATTCATCTTTCATAGAGTTATGCTGATGGACAGAGAGAATCCCAATACCCTTTGTATAATTTCTTTCCAAAGTTTCACTGGGTTGAAAAGAATAAAAGCTATAAATAATTGCAGCTAAAACAATCAACTAATGTAAAACACTTGGCTGGAAAGGAAGGAACCATAATTACTGGGACAGAATAGGTGCACCAATAATCTCGATGCATATGCATTCTTTCAGCTGCCTCAGAGTCAGAATTTTACAAAGCTTTTCTAGCATGCTTTCCTGTTTCAATTCATCATGCTCTTTCAGGAACTTTGACAACAGGATGACTATTAAGCAACTAAACTGAACTCTACTAAAAATGCAGCCTGAATTTTTGGGTCACCTTCATGGAATATAAGGATGAAAGGCAGAGTAGTCCACAGTCTGATGGACTGCAACATCCTAATAAATTTCATGAGGATTTACATGATCAATTGCCAATAGAGGCTTATCTCCCTGATAATCTTGTGGACAAATACATCCCTTTTTGTCACTATAGAAAGCAGTAGCCACTCCTAGTATGCTTTAGCAGCTGTTTGAACTTGTAGTAGTAGTAGTAACATACTTTATTGATTAGTCATTTGACCATATCAAAACATAAGCATCAGCCAGAGTAAGGTACAATAAAAATGGAATAAAGTGAGATACAGTAAAATAGGATAAAATAGACTACAGTGAGATAAAATAGATAAATGTAGTAAGGTAAGACAGAGTAAGGATAAAAAGTAGGATAAAACAGTATAAGATAAAATAGAGTGCAGAGATATATAATAAAATGAATACTAAAATTTGAAAATGGTATGTGTTTAGGTGAATTCATCACCTTTGCATGCAACCCTGATGTGTTCTATCAAACGTGTTCTCTGTTGGACAGCCCTGACTATAAATTTGACAGTTCTAGTGGCTACGTATTTGTTTGTGTCCTGAAGGAAGTAAGATAATCTTTTGTTAGAGTCCCAATATATGGTTCTGTCAAGTAGTGTCTGTAAGTACTGAGCCCTTATTGAGGCATATAATTGACAGTTGAACAGGACATGTGCAATGTCTTCTGATGCTCCGCAAATACCCATTATCTCTGTTTGAATGTATAAAGGTTCTGTGGAAGGATGCTCTTTTGTTAGAGTCCCAATATATGGTTCTGTCAAGTAGTGTCTGTAAGTACTGAGCCCTTATTGAGGCATATAATTGACAGTTGAACAGGACATGTGCAATGTCTTCTGATGCTCCGCAAATACCCATTATCTCTGTTTGAATGTATAAAGGTTCTGTGGAAGGATGCTGTAACTCATACCCTAGATTATTAGCCCAGAAAAGTATAATTTCAGTGTTAAATTTAAAAAATTTAAAAGTTTTTAAAATATCAGTAGAAAATCATCCAAGTCTGAATAGATTACCTAAGAGCTCCTGTCGTAGCTGAACGTGGCTGCCTCCGAAGTTTTAAGGCACGAAGTTGATCTCCCTGGGTCATGCCGTTCTTAACTTCTACTTCTGCATCATCTTCCAAATCACTCTGGAAAACAGAAATAAAAGAAAATTAAGAGGAGTCCAAGCTACTTTTAAAAAACATTTAGAGAACAAATCTGTGACTCAGGAGTCACTATAGGTTTTTCTTTTCTCTCACATTATTTTTACTCCTGACAACTTACTGGTAGCACTTATCACTATGAAATATTTTCTGCAAGAAAGGAGGAATACAACAAAAGCAAACTTAACTGTGTACATCCTACATAACATAGTGAAGGGGAATAGTTGGAAAAGAAACACTCTAATAATAAAAGTACTGCACATTTAAGCAACAGGGAGTTTAACTTGTCCCAGATTTCCATATGGATGAAGGCCAAAAAGCACAACGTAGTGTAAGCGCATAAATGCTCTCCTTCTTTTAAAAGGATTACTGATGAGAAGCTGACCAGTACTGTACACTTAAGGTGCTGACTACAAGTGGGGAAAACCAATTGCAAGTCCATAACCCTAACCCTAACTCAATCACTGTCTCTTAGCCCAAGCTACTCCACCATCTGTATGCCATCTTAAGCTTGCAGAGAAATGGTGGGGTATATGTATAAAATAAATTTAATAAATAATCACAGATTGTTTTCTCACCTCTTTAAATAGCAGGCAAATTTTTAACATTGTCATGTGAGAACATTTATACATGCTACTTTCTCATCTTGCCCCTTGGTGGGAAAATTTTGGCTTAAATTAAACCAAAGTTACATTAGGTCAGAACCAGGAATCAACTTAATAAAGAGGAAAATAAGTCATGATTGATGTGATGTGGTGACACTAATTAACTTTCTTAGGAAACATAATCTCTAAAAGAACTATTTTAGATAGTAGTTTGGGAAAAGGGCTACTGGACCCAACGTATTTGTGGAATTCCACTGAATTCCATCTTGTCCTTTATGCTATTTAACATAGCACAGAAGAATTCATCTAGGAATCTGGGCTAAGCTTGGCGCCTTCAGGTGGCTTTAAAGAAGTTATTCTCCCTTGGCCCAGCCCCACAATCTGCAATATTTCAATAATCATGCTGACCTATTTTACTATAAGGATTACAACATGTTTATTATATGTCAAATATTTTTATTGTATTACAGTGCTATGATAAACTCCAAATATTTTACTTTGGAAATTATTTACATGTTCTTCAAGTTTGATTGGAGATTATTCCACTGAAACTTTACCTCTATATATTTATCCAAATTTTCAATTCTACTTGAAGTCCCACTGATGGAAATGTCATCCAAGCCAGACAAAACTTTGATCACACTATCTTCATCTACTTCTCTCGATTTCTGTTTAGTACGGAATATGTCTCCTTGGACCCACAACATTGACTGTTTTCTGTTCAATAATACAAAAAATAAAATTAGTACCAGTGGTACTGTGCTACAGAAAGTGAGATATAGCTTTCTTTTAAAACATGTACTTTTCAAATCTTTGAATCTGTCAAATCTCACACAATTTTTTGACAATCTTGTGAGATTTTGGCCCTTATAATTCTTAAAATATTTATTTTGGGTGTTCTGTGGGCAGCATTTAGGGATGTTGCAGATAAGAAAATGTCCACTTAGACATCTGAAATTGACAAATGGAAGGGATTCTGGTTGTTTTAAAAAATCCTACTGCTTGTTAAACCAGTAACCAAAGCAGCAACTAGATTTTCTCCTATTTACAACAGCATATCCTTATAGAAATAAATGTCAGTAAAAGAGCATTCCTTTCCCTTTAATTTTTTCTTTCTCTCTGTATATGTATGTGCTAAATTTTGCTGCTCTCATTCATAAGCAATCTTTTCCATCAGTTTTGCTTAAGAGGATAATTGTGTGGCAATAGGCAAAAATAAACAATGTCACCCATATATTTAAATTCAGACAAAAATTCCTATTTGGAGGTTAATGACTAGGGACTAGAATAGGACTGGAAAGCTGAAAACAGCATCCCTGCTTAGAGTATGGAAAATAACATGCAGCATAGTTAAATGTTCTGATGAGGCAAGCCAAGTTAACACTTGAAAGAATTTGCTGAATGAGTACCATATACACATAAATGAGGGGGGGAAATCCCTTGCAAGAATCAATGAGGTTTATGCTTGCTTAGAATGTTTTTATTTGTACACTGTTGGATGGGGACATATCTTTTGAAGTTAGCTTGGAGAGATTATTGTTAGACTGACTTCAAAGAACAACTATATAGTTGTTGATCCAGAGCAACACCATTTAACTGAGCAGCAGTATCACTAGCAACTGCAAAGTATCATGTGTCTTAGCCCATTTTTTAAAAAAATCCTACTCTTCTTCCTTAATTATTCTTCAGAGGCCCCAATGATAACTATCACGAAGAACAGAACTAGGTATCAAGGTAATGAATTTTGAAAAATGAGAGAATTAAAGACATATGCAGATTGGAATAGCATACAGAAACTTCAACTTCAAAAATCTAGCCTATCGCAGAAAAAATGTTTTGGATGTTCAATCTGCAAAAGGAATAAACACACAAATCTAAAATCAATGATGGCCCAAAATTATTTATTTTTACAATTTATTCTGATGCAATTTATCCTGCCTGCTCTTTACTGAAAGTTGCCTTCCTACTGTGATGCTGAGCTCTGCTATTCTACCTTCTGTGGAATGAGAAGCCACTGCGAGATTAATCATTTACACTGCTCTCACCAAAAGCAGTTTGCCAATGGTTCTCTGAAGGAACAAGACACTGATACAACCCGGCACAGAGGACAGGGTGGAACTCTCCAGGAAGTCACAGGCCACCAATTGGCCCTCTGGCACAATCTTTTGGACATGGCCTGGCTCTGTCTGGCAAGAACCACCATGAAGCAGTGTCCCTAAGTCCCATCTCTGGTCCCTTATTGTCACAGAGGGCATAAACCACTGGCATAATGCTCTGTATTTGTCACAATGCCATGAATGTCTACACTATTCCCAACCTGCAAATCACTTCAGGTTCACATATGAGAAAAACAAGAAGGATGGATTGTTTCAATAATTTATTATTTTGAAGTTAGGGTGGGAAAGGGAGCTTTCACTATCTCATTAAGTAAGAAATTATTGGCAATAACACTAGAAGACTTTGGAGGCATTCCACACACTTCATAGTTAATTTTATATGACTCCTAGCAATTCAGTTTCAGAGGCACTGAAATGAATGTGTTTTCAGGACACTACACGGAATACTTGGGGCAATACAGCATTACAGTACTTATATGAAATAAGAAAGCCTTGTGCTTGCTTCACCCTTGTGTGATGTATTACAGCATGTATGTGCACCTGAGTTACACTGCGGTGAGGGTCCTGTATTTTGCTGACCTGCTAAAGCAGTTTTTATCACTATAACATAACTACCAGATGCTTCATTGCCACTGCCATAAATCTCATAGTGTGAACCAGATGGCTTGATCTGATCCATTCCAATTAGCACCACAGATAGGCAGCCTTCCTAATTATCAGCTTTTCTACATCTTTAGCAAGTTTTAGCAAATATAATGGATTTTTTTTTCCTCCTTTCCACCTCTCCAAAGACAGATGAGTAAATAAGATAACTTTTCAGTTTTCAAACAAAAGTTGTACATTTAAAATTGAACTGTAATTAGATTCTGATACTTTAATCCTCAAAAGATACAGTTTACAAAAAAGCACAAAATGTTGACATGGGGAAGTAACTTGTTAAGATATGCTCAGGCAACAAAACAAAGAGAAGGGTTAAACGTTTTCCAGATTCTTAACCAACTCCTGGAAGCAATTTAAAAAAGGCTTATTGAGATATGAGTAACATAATAAATTGAATAACACAAAACATTAGAGTGGCAGTGTTACATTGTATACACCTTCTCCAGAACTGATTAAACTACAACAAAAACTATACAATCAATTCAGTAAAGGGAATTCCAAAAAAGCCACCATGTCTTGTGGCCTTGCATAAATATTTGCTTAACAGTACAGGGGGGGAAAAGAACATACTTTGGAGTGTTAATCATATGATTAATGTAGTTCTCATACTTACTCTTCAAGGAAATGTTGCTGGGGTCCAATAATAGAACCTGGCCGACACATTCGTATCCAGGCAATGGCTTCAGAATGTGTGAATTTATAGTGTTTCATTATGTAACATGCAATCAGTGTTCCTGTTCTTCCTAGCCCGGCTACATTAATGAAAAAAGACATAAAAGCTTATTTTTCATAGAGATCCACAGTTGATAATTTGGCACTGAATAATGCCAAATATATCCCAAAAAATTGTTTCTGGGTCTCAGATTTTACAAAATGACATAACCAAACTTGATATTAAATGTCATAGGTTTGTTAAAGGAAAAATAACCTGCTAGATTCTATACAGTTTAATGTTTATCTTAACCTCTGGGGCCTTTTCTATTCCTGACCTGAGTAATCTAGAACATACCACTTCCTTGTTCTACTGAACAAATGTATATTGCTTTGTTTCTAATGCTATACAGCTATTTAGAGCACTGAGGCAGCCATATCGCCTGCTGGTTTCACCAAATTGCTTCAAGGCTTTTGATCATGAACTTCTGAGGTGTAGCCATGCACAGAAGATATTTCCAAAGTGAAGTAGCTGCACTTCAAGCATTCCAGGCTTTGCCTTGATCCTCCAAGATGTTGATTTGGAAAGGTTCTTTGATTACTTCTCAAACTATCTGAGATGGAATGGTTTGGTGAAGACCGTGCTTGGGAGATAAGCATTTCCTTAGCCCCCAGCAGGG